GATAGTGTGTGTGAAAATGGTCGTGTTTAAGAGTGCTAATAGTGATGAAAGCTAATGCTTTGAGCACTAACTTACCTAGCCAGACACTGTGTTAAGTTAGTACACTTTGTACTAACTCATCGAAGCTTCATGGCAACCCCACAAGGGAGGACTGTGATTATTCCTAATTTACAGAAAAGGAGGCTGAAGCACACGGTGTTCAAGCCAAGCCAGGATTTGGTGTCAGGGAGTCTGGCTCCAGGCCTGTGCTCTTCAACTCTGTACCCAACTGTCCCTCAAAGTAGGTATTTCTGACTGTCACTTCCCTTTGGGCCATCTAATAAAAAGAACAGCAACAAAAATGGATAAAAATGCCAGGTGCAAAACAATGAGAACTTCTTCCTTTCGACCCAGAACATGTAAGCACTACATGGTACATTTCTCTTTAAGATTATTCATTCAGTCTAGAATCAGATGTGTGTGTTCAAGAAGACCTGGAGGAAATCTATTTGAGTTATGTGATGGCTTGCTTTGTACAAGGCTACTCAAAATCTGGCTCATGGACTTGCAGCATCAGCATCATGTGGACGCTTGTTAGAAAGGCAAATTCTTGGGTCCCACCCCAGACCAATATACCAGAATCTCTGGGCATGGGCCCAGCGATCTGTTTTGTCAAGCTCTGTAGGTGACATTGATCCATTCTAAGAATGAGAACCACTGGTTTAGAGCAGGGGAAGAGAGAGAGAATCTTTTATGGTATATAAAAGAAGTAAAAAAAATGTTTACATGCCTTTACCCCCTGGTGATTTAGCTAGAATTATGATTGATCTTCTTGGGAGACGGTGTTCACTGAGGGAACAGAGGGTGCCTGCTGGTGTTGGACATACAAATAGAAATCAGACATAGTTCTGGTGCCAATGAGGTTGCAGTCTAGTGATAAGGAGAAATGGGTACATCAGAGACCAGAACACAGTGCAGGCAGGGCCAGCATGCAGCATGCACAAAGCACTCTCACTGGAGCTGAAGTCGAACAGAGGAAGTTGTCACCAAAGTGAAATCTGAATGGTGATTTGAAGGATAAAGAGACTTGCCCTGGATAGAGACGGTTATTTTAAGCTTACAGGAAAAATGAGACTAACTTCAATTAAGAGTAGAATAACAACAGCTATGAAGACTTTGCCCTCCAAATAAGATCTGTTTGGGGAACTACTTACTAGTGGCTACGTAGAACACTATACAGTGTATACACAATCTAGGCACAGGGGGGATTTCAGAGCATAGAGAAGTACCTAAACTATTCCAAATGGTGGGCTGGGTCAGATCAGGGAAGACTTTCTGGAGGAGGAAGTCAGATACCAGTGCTGAATCTGAAGAGATGGGTATAGGTTACACACATAGAGGGTTTTTTCAGACAGAAAGGGTAGCTGAGTCCTGGAACACTGTGTAAAGGGCAGTGCTTTTAAACTTTTAGCAAGTGATACCTTGGGAAAAAGGTAAAATTTGCAAGGCACCCTGGGGTAATGCAAGACGTTGGTGGCACACAGGTCGGTATTCTCTGGATTAGAGAGTGTGAGTTGTTCATGACAAGTAGAGTGTACAGGAAGAAGCTGAGAGGGAGTTTTGGAGACCTGAGAGTGGGAAAGTTGGCAGATGTCATCTCCTAGGAATTATTTTAATGTATAAAATGAGATCAACCTCCATTTCAAAGGAAATTAAATTTTTATTATTTTTTTAGCCCATAGTTTTTTACAAAATGTTGGGAGACAGCTGGCCTCTCCTCCAGGAGATAAAGTGCCAACAGAACTTACCGTTGTCCCTTTGGCTGTGTCAGGGAATGAGGTTTTCCTTGTCCTTGGTCCAAAGGGGAGGCTGTGTGCTGTTGGAAGGTCAGAATCCAACGGGGTGAGAACTGGAAATCAGTGTTTCCATGAATGAAGGTGGCTCCACTATTTATTTTCCTCTGTGTGGGAAGAGAAATGTCAAACCCTGCTCCAGTGAAAACAGCTTCGCTCAAACTCATTTGGGCTTTAAGAGTCACACATTCTGGAAAGCAGAATTGGCAGTTTAAATATAGATCTCATCTACAAGTTATTTCACAAGACCAATGGATCTTAAGTATTTCTGTTCATTTCCCTATATGTATTTCTTTTATTAGAATTAGACCTTCCAGCCAGGTTATTTAGGGACATTTCATCTGTCCAAAAAAGAAAACCAAGGCCTTGGCCGCTGAACAATTTCCTCTGCCTTCCTTCCCCACTGGGCCTTCTTTTATAAATCTGAGCAGGGGGAGCAGAATCAGTAGGAGTGGCTAAAAGATGTACGTTAGAAAAGCTTAAAAGAAAGAAGTTTTGGGGATTTGAGACTGGCATTTATGGGAAGGATATGACAGAAGTGGGGAGAACAGATTTTAAAGATGTTTTGGTAGGCGTAAGATTTTATTCTCCTCTACTATCGGGACCTTTAGTCTTTGAGATAATAACCGATGAAGGTTGTAATTGCTTTAGCTTTTATGGACAGTGTTTCTGAGAAGGTGTCCCCATGAACACTGAGCTGTAGGGAGCTGGAGTGTCTCTGACTTGTACATGCATCATTTTGTTTGAGCTTCAGAAAAGGTCCCATTTATCAGTCTTTTAGAATTCAACACATCCTTTAGCTTTTCACTGTAAGGCCACTGGTGAGGTTTAAAAGAAGTGGTTGGATTAAGGAGAAGGGGGAAAGGACATAATCTGGGAGCTAGTAGTAAATGTTCTGTGGGGGCAAGTTTCCTGGTAGTGGCAAAATAAATGAAGGGGGAGCTTCTATTATAGAAAAACTTTAACTTCTTGCCATTCAGTCTATAAAATGGTAAAGGGTGATTTTATGTATTCTGTTTTTCCTATTTTAAAGTAGAAGTTGGTATCAGAGACACCAAGACATTTGAGATTTCTTTTTAAGGAATTCAGGATAAACATCTTCATGTTGTGAGGTCAAATTTGGCTGAGAAGGGATGAGAAGACTTAATGGATAGCAGGAGATTTATATCATAAGCTTTAAAAAATTATGATAAAATATACATAATATAAAATGGCTGTCAATCATTTTAAAGTATGTAGTTGGAGGGGGGTTGGGCAGGGCAGGGGAGAGCAATGGGGAGAAAATGGAGACAGCTGCAGTTGAACAACAATATAAAGAACTAAAAAAAAGAATTTCAAAAAGAAGTGTACATGTCAGTAGTGTCAAGCACATTCACATTGTCATGCAACTAATCTGCTCCTGTTATCTTGCAAAACTGAGATTCTATAGCTATTAAGCACTTCGCTATTGCTCCTTCTCCTCAGTCCCAGGCAACCAACATCCTACTTTCTGTCTCTATGAGTTTGACTCTGAAGTAGCTCAGCTAAGTAGAATCATACAATATTTATCTCTTTGTGATTGGCTTATTTCATTTAACATAATGTCCTCAAGTTTTGTTTATGTTGTAGCACATGTCAAAATTTCCTTCCTTTTAAGACTGAATAATATTCCATTGTATGGAATATTACTAAACCAAGTTTAGTTTATGCATTAATCCACTAATGAACAATTGGGTGGCTTCCACATTTTGGCTATTGTAAACCATGCTATTATGAACATAGGTGTACAAATATCTGTTCTGAACCCTGCTTTCAATAGTTTTCATATATACTCCTAAGTAGAATGGCTAGGCCATATTATAATTCTGTTTTTAGTATTTTGAGGAACTGCCATACTGTTTCTATAGTGGCTGCACCATTTTATGTCCCTACAAATGGTGCACAGGGTTTTGATTTCTCTGTATCTTTGCCAACACTTGTGATTTGCTTTCCTTTATTTTTAAAAATAGTAACCATCCTAATGTGTGTGGTTATATCAGTAGGCTGTAGCTGCAAAACAAAACTTACTGGCTTAAAACAACAATCATTTATTATCATTTAGTTTTGCTTATGGATATGCTGGGTGGAGGCTTGGATTAGGATCAGCTGGTTGGGTCTCTGGTTTTGGCTGAGCTACCTCACACGTCTATGGCCAACAGCTGGACTGGTGGGGGGCTGGCCCGTTGAAAGAGGGCTCAGCTCGGTGGCTTATTTCTGTTCCTTGTTGCCTCCAGTTTTCCAGTAGGTGAGCTTGGGCTTGTTCACATGGTGGTGGCAGGCTCTGCATGGTGAAAGTGGAAATACCAAGGTTTCTTGAGGCCTGGGCTCAGAAATTGCACATCACTTACCTCACATACATTGGGAGTGATAAGACCTCAGCCCAGATTCACAAGGTGGAGAAAGATCCTGGTACAGAAGATGTGGATATAGGGAGAGGGTACAGAATTGTGGCTATTCTTGTAGTATACCATAGGATTCTAGAGCTTTGGTAGGAGTAGTAGAGGTGAGAAATTTACTGGAAGATTATTAGGGTTCTTATAATAAGATGGCTGGTTTTGTATGTCTAGTAGAAATACTCCAGAATTCTTTAAAATGTTGAAAGTAAGAATAAAGAAACTGTAAATGAATTTTCCTTGGAATGTTTTTCAAATAAGCTTTGGATTTAACCATCAAAAGTGCCAAGTATTAATTTTTTAAAATGAATTTTAGTTTTGGAATAATTTTGGATTTATAGTAAAGTTACAAACATATCTTTTCCCTAGTCTCCTCTAATGTTAATATCTCACATTATCATGGCACATGTTTCAAAACTAAGAAACAAACATTGTTATATTACTATTAACTAAACTCCAGACTTTATTTGCATTTTACCAGTTTTTCCTTTAATGTTCTTCATCTGTTCCAGGATATAATCTAGGCAGTCACATTTCATTTAGACATCTATTACTTTTTTTTTTTAAGACTTTTTTTTTTTACAGAGCTTTTAGGTTCACAGTAAAATTGAAGTGAAGGTACAGAGATTTCCCATATAACTCTGCTCTGCACATGCACTGCCTCCCCCATTATCAACATCCATCACCAGAGTGAGACATTTATAATAATTACGATCCTACATTGGCACATCAAAATCACCCACAGTCCATAGTTTACCTTCGGGCTCATCTTGGTGTTGTACATTCTTGGTGTTGTACATTCGTTTGGTTTGGACAAATTTATAATGACATGTATTTATCATTATAGTGTCATAGAGAAAAATTTCACTGTTTTAAAAATCCTCTGTGTTCCACCTATTTGTCCCTCTCTCAGACACTCCAACCCCTGGCAAACAGTGATCATCTTACTGTCTCCATAGTCCTGCTTTTTCCGGAGTGTTATATAGTTGGAATCATACAGTACGTGGCCTTTTTAGATGGTCTTCTTTCACTTAGCAAGCCACATTTAGTTTTCTCCATTTCTTTCCATAGCTTGATAGCTCATTTCTTTTTGGTGCTGAATAATGTTCCATTGTCTGGATGTACCCTAGTTTATTTATTCATTCACCTACTGAAGGACATCTTTGGCTGCTTCTAAGTTTTGGTGATTATAAATAAAGATACTGTAAGTATCCATGTACATGTTTTTGTGTGGATATCAGTTTTCAACTCCTTTGGGTAAATACCAAGGAGAGAAATTGCTGGATCATATGGTAAGAGCATGTTTAGTTTTGTAAGAAATCATCGAATTGCCTTCCAAACTGGCCATACCATTTTGCATTCCCACCAGCAATGTACGAGTGTTTCTGGTGCTCCACATCCTCACAAACACTTGGTGTCATCAATGTTCCAGATTTTGTTCATTCTAATAGGTATGTGGTGACTCTCATTATTGTTTTCATGTGCATTTCCCTAATGATATGTGATATTGAGCATCTTTTCATATGTTTATTTCCCATTTGTATATCTTGTTTGGTGAGATGTCCATTAAGAACTTTGGTCAGCCCAGAAATTCCACTGCTAGGATTATATCCTAAGAACCCTGAAACACCAATCCAAAAGAACCTATGGGCCCCAATGTTCATAGCAGCACAATTTACAATAGCCAAGTGCTGGAAGCAACCTAGGTGCCCATCAGTAAATGAATGGACCAAAAAACTATGGTACATTTACACAATGGAATTCTATGCAGCAGAGAGAAAGAAGGACCTCCTACCCTTGGCAACAACATGGATAGAACTAGAAAGCATTATGCTAAGCAAAATAAGCCAGGCGGTGAAAGACAAATACCATATGATCTCACCTTTAACCGGAACCTAATCAACAAAACAAACAAACAAGCAAAATATAACCAAAGACACTGAAATAGAGAACAGGCTGACAGTGACCAGAGGGGAGAGGGAAGGGAATTTCAGGGGAAAAGGGGAAGGGTTTGCAGGAACAAGTATAAAAGACATTTGGACAAAAACAAGGGGAAGGGTGGAAATGGGAGGGAGGTGGGGAGGGCTGGGGGGCGTGGGCTGAGATGGGAGTGAAAGGCAGAAAACTATACTTGAACAACAATTAAAATAAAAGAACGTTGGTCAGTTTTTTTTAATGGGGTTGTTTGTTTTCTTATTGATGAGTTTTAAGAATTTCTTTTTTTTTTAAGATTTTATTTATTTAGTTTTAGAGATAGGGGAAAGGAGGGAGAAAGACAGGGACAGAGACATCAATGTGTGATTGCCTCTCATATGCTCCCCACTGGGGACCTGGCCCGGAACCCAGGCATGTGCCCTGACTGGGAATTGAACCAGCGACTCCCTGGTTCGCAGCCCACGCTCAATCCACTGAGCCACACCAGACAGGGCTAAGAATTTCTTTGTATTTTTTAGTAGTCCTTAGACAGATGTGTCTTTGCAACTATTTTCCCCCAGCTTATGGTTTGTTTTCTTGTTCTCTTGACATTGTCTTTCACAAAGCAGATGTTAAATTAACCAACTATTAATTTTAACTGTTAAAAATTCTCAAACTGATAGACATACCGTGATGAAACTGTTCTTTTTTATTGTTGATGCTTTATTTTCATAAACTAAATGGACATATACTCTGGTTTATTCATAATACTAAGGAATATGCTCATTAGTACTGGCACTGTGTTAGGGGGCAAGATCCCAGCTTTCTAGGAGCGTGCCTTCGAAAAGGCACGTGCATAACATCTGCAGCCTCAGAGGGAGAAGCACGTCTGCGGAGACATGGAAAAGCTTCCTAGAGGAGCTAGCATTGCAGCCCAGCCTTGAACCCTAAGTTGGATTTTATATGTAACATTGTCATTTTAAAATGTTTTTCAATTATAGTTTGCATTCAGTACTATTTCGTATTAGTTTTGGGTGTACAGCATAATGGTTAGATAATCATATGTGTTACAAAGTGGTCCCCCTGATATTTCAAGTACCCACCTGGCACTGCACATAATTGTTACCATATTATGAACTATATTCCCTATGTTGTGTGACTATTATGTAACTACCAATTTGCGTTTCTTAATCTCTTCACATTTTTAACCCAGCCCTCCAACCCTTACCTCTGGCAACCATTGGTCCAATCTCTGTATCTGTGGGTATGATGATGAAGCCATTCTTGATAAAAGATGCCTTGGCTGTTTTGTGGGAAGTCCCGCAACTGAAGTGGTTCATTAGCTCAGGTCTTAGTTAACTCTGGCCACATCTTACAATACATTAGTTTAGTCAGGCTCAGTCTATTGGCCTCCTAATGTGCTGTGGCACAAGTAGTTTATTTCCTTCTTTCCAAGCTTCAGAAAACTCCCTTTCCTGAGCCTTGAAAGAGGCTCAGCTTCCCTCTTCTAGGGACCCTCATAACTGTGTTTTCATATCTGTTGGCTGCTTTCCTCAGCTTGCACAAACCCCTTTCTCAAGCCCCTCTTAAATGCATAGAATTAAACATAGATGACTGTGGGAGTTGTCCTCCATTGGATGGACATGTTCATTATGAAATGTTTGAACGCTGCTTGGTTTACAGTGGTGAGTCTCAGTGGTGGGAGGGGCTCAGTGAGAGGAGCTGCCAGGTAGGGGCTGAGGCTCCTTCATACTCTGCTTGTCTTTTGTGCCCACCTTGGAACTATGGTTATTGATGTAAATATGATATACTTTTTGTTAGGTCCAAAAACAACAAATACACACACAAAACTCTGGTTACAGGAGGAGTTGATGAAATAGTTATTCTTTTTGTCTGATTACAAATATATAAACTTGTTCTTCTAGAGACAGAGACATCTGCCTCCTATGATACCCCTGGTTTATTTCATTATTTTCTGTAGGTCAATCAAAGTCTTTCCCACTGTTTGATTTCAGGGCCTTCTCCAGAGCCATGAGTTAGTTCAGGCGTGTGCTGTGCATGCCGGACATGAGCCGTGGGCAATGGAGCCAATGGAGTGCTGGTCCCAGAGGCCCCGAGCTTGTTTTCTTGGCCAGTCCCTGATGTCAACTGGCCTGGTGGCCATTTGCTGCTGCCTCCTCAGAAGGGAGAGTGAGGCACGCACAGCTGCCTTCCTGGGCTAGGTAATGTGCCTACCTTTCTAACAAACTAATTAGGAAGACTAAGGCAGAAGTGGTTTTTCCCCTGAAGTGATTTTTTCTTCCAGAAAGTTATTATCTTCCTGGTTGCTCTCAGTGATTCATCTCATGACTTGTCAGCACCCTTCAAAACATTATCATTTCTGTTCACATGGCACAACACATGTGCTCCCACTTACAGTTCATATTTTCAGTGCATGCACACCTAAAAACGCCTAATCACTAGCCCCTGCACACATTCCCAGACTAGAGGTGTACAAGCTGGTAAGACCCCTCTGGATTTATGTATTTCTGTACATTTCTTTGGGGTCATAAGAAGATTTTATTTGAGAGCAAATTATTGCTTTCAAAACATAGTAGAAATTTACAAAGCAAGGGAAAGAAATGTATAGAACTCACTACAGAGATCTCTAGGTAGTTAACGCAAGTGTGAACAACAAAATAAGTGTGCTAACCCTTTTTATGCCCCCAAATTGGTAAAGGTTTCAAGAGAGTTAAGTGTGTCCCAGCCCATTTTTTCTTTTTGTCTCAAATGGTTTTCTTCCTAAACATTTCACATTGTCCTCTGTATTCTGCAGGCCCAGCTGTCTACTCTCCCTGTGCAAATTTGTGCTGTTAAATAATTTGCAAGGATTTTCTTTCCAAGTACCTCAATGTCATGCTAATTCTGTTACTCCTAGAACTTTTAGCCATTGCTCCTGTATCTTAGGAGCTCACTTTCTTCCTTTTCTGTTTGGTTTTTCTCAGTTTCTCATGGCTTATGCAACTCAGGCTGTCCAGTGCCCTGCACAGAGGCACAACAGGCTGCTAAAGAATTTTGCTGAATATATGCATTGAATGCATGATCTTAATTAAGGCTTTCTGCTTGGTCTACACTAGGTCTTTCTATGATTTATTTATTCTTTCTTTTTTTAAAAAAGATTTATTTATTTATTTTTAGAGAGGGAAGGGAGGGAGAAAGAGAGAGAAACATGAATATGCAGTTGCTGGGGGCCATGACCTGCAACCCTGGCATGTGCCCTGGCTAGGAATCGAACCTGCGATACTTTGGTTTGCAGCCCGTGCTCAATCCACTGAGCTATGCCAGCCAGGCTGATTTATTTATTCTTTCAAAAGGAGTCAGGCTACTATGCTATTTAAACAGAAATATCAAATTCTCTTGATAAAAATTTCACCCACATACAAGATACTAGAAGTTTTTTTATAATAATTCATATCATATTTTTATATTGCAGCAAGTTATGCAACTTTTTATTAATTTTGTTCTTCAAACATTTGTCTTATCTGTCTAATGAGTGGGAGGCCTGTTGTTTAAAACACAGACAGTTCAGTTTCACAGGGTATGCACACCCACAAGCCTTTGAAGTTTTAGAGTAAACACCAATCATTTTTAGAGTAAATGTCAATCAGTGAGGGATTAGAGATCTTATTAAAATTCAGGTCAACACACTGCATGCGATCAGATGCAGTTGACCTTGGTATAGCCTTCCTTGGTCTCTAGAATCCCTAATAGGATGGTGAGGTTGAAGGAAGCACTGATATCAGGCCCTGGGTTCCCATGAGGGGGTCTTACCAAATCCGAAAAGCTCAGTTCTTGTTCTGCCACTGCCTTCTTATTTGCACTCCCAATCTT